TAAAAAGCTGCTCTTGAGTCACAGTGCACTTTGTGCAGGGGGAGATTGAGTGCCCATGATCCGCAAAACCACAGATTTTGACCATGGCCGGATGATCGGCGATGATTCCAACAAGGGCAGCGCGGACATGAACCCCTCCAGAGTGAATCAGCAAGGATAGTAAGAATGTACTTGTATTGTACTCACCAGTCGGATGTTTGTCAGTTTGGACAACAGTGCCGCTCTCATACAAGATCAAAAGATCATCGACGATAGGTTTGAGATAATTTTGAAGTGCGGTAGCGTTTGGTTCCGTAGGCCCTGGAAGCATTCCGCAAAGAATGAGATTCTCCGTCCGGAAACTGAACTTATGATGTCAGCATCTGTGCTATAGCGTGGAAATGATGGACACGCACCGAAGAGACGGATTCAAGTTTTGAATACAAAAAGAAAGTACTCCAGACGAATGGGAAGGTCCATAGCTGCTCGTCTTTCTGCCGAACCTGATGCAACGCATTAGGTATGCATTTTTGTAAGGGGATTTACTTCACCAGTCCAACGAGAATGTGACTCCCAAGCGTATCTCGTGCTCGGAGCTTGCCCCAAAAAAGAAGGACTGGCCATCATGACCCTTGATGTCCTTCCAAACGTTACCATCCTGCATGCTTCGCAACTCTCCGACAACCTGGGGGCGTGCCTTCCATCCATTGACAGCCGAAACCATCCCAGGACGCGAAAAAATATGCTTCAGTCCAAGTGACAACAACTGAATGGGGGCAACGACATGCGGCTCGCGAGGAACTGCGGAAGTATCCCCACCATCCGCTGGCGTCGATTCATCAAGTCCCATGTGATCGAAGAGTTGGCGAGGAGCCGGTCTGAATATTTCGACGTCACAGTTCGAGCAGCATATATCGGAAGAAGCTCGTGGGTCGAAGATTTTGTGGCAGGCGTAGCACACAGGATGCACCGTGAATCGGTCCTCGATGCCCAGCCTTGAAAATACAGTTTTAAGAGTGATTGGCATTTGAATCCACCCGGATAAATCGCCCATTAAAGCAGAAAAAATGAAGTTGAGGGTGGTGAGAATCAGGGCACAGGCGCGGAAAGTGACGTGATGGTGAGTGTGAAGAATGGCAACAAGATATATGATCCCGCGCACATACCACTGTGGATGCAAAGAGTCGCGAATCGTAGGGGCCTCGCTGAGTGAATGACCGGGATCCGCGTCCAAATCCGGAACCATACTCGATCCAGTCGGCGGATGCAAGGAATCGCGGCTCGTGGCCATGGGTGCGAGAGGCGCCTCGTTAATTGAGCGATCTGGATCTTCATGCAAATCCAGAGGTACGGGGAGCGCAGTGGATTCAGTAGTGGGTGGCCTGCAGTTAATTTGCGAATGTAAATTGAGAAAAGTCAACGCGAAGGTAAACAATACTCACTGAATTGACGGTCTAAAGTGTAATTTAAGATTCAGTAGGGAACGGCAGAACAATGTCTCAGTAGGAGCTCAACTTACTCCACCGCAGGCGCCGCATGACTTGAAACATGCTGCGCGTAAAGCCCAGATGCGGACTGTTTGGTGGGATCGGCGACCTTTCGCCCACGCGACGCCAACGATGTCGAAGGATGGCGGCTGGGAGCGGAGGGAGCTATGTCGATGGGCTGGGTAGTGCGACTAGTACTACGACCACGGGTGGCCATAGAGCGTGATTGTCCAGTGAACCCAGACATGTTTATTGACTGAGGTAAAAAGAACACCAAAAAGAAGGATAGCGCCTGCATTGCAGAGCTTACAAGAACAGTTTATATACATTTCGAATTCCGCGAATTTGCCGTCACACAGGCCAGTCGGAGGCAATATATCTTGGTGAACAGCGTCAAGAATCTTGCCGGCAATTCCGCAATTAATGTCGGATGGAGAACACCTTCTCCATTTACCCAATTGGCCAACAGACTGTGTCCTTGGGGGTCAGCAGTCTGTGCGTCCAACCGATCGGTGGCGTTGCACAAAACTTACCCGAGGATCCAACGAACCTGGGAGTGAGTGAGCGATGATGGTACCTGCGCGCGGTGGAGGAAGCCAAGTTACGTGTTGCGTCACAGCCGTGACAGCGGATCATTTCAATTTACTGGACCGCTGTCCTGATGCCAAATTTGTCGAACCAAACGTTATTAGGGACTTGTGATCACTCAACATCAACTATTTCCACAAAATGCGAGCACTATAACGTCAACCAGTTGAAGCCAACCTTTGACTACGGACGTAGTCACAGGTAGTCAGACGTAGTCGCAGGTAGGCCAAGGGGAGGTTAACGTAGTCACATGTAGTCCAATGTCCATGCGACTACCTCCGTAGTCACACCCTCTGACTACGGGGGGTCTCAACGCAGTGTCTGTCCGGAGCCATCTCAGTCACCTCAGTCATGCAAAGGGTATCCAACTGTTTTTCGGGCGACGATGACTAGTGTGCTCTGTTTTTGCCTCTGTGTACGGAGACCGTCCAATTTAGTCGACCCCTCTTTTCAACATCAACCGTATAGCAATGGACACGTTTATTGCGCGCGTCAACTGGCTGTGGAACACGACCATCGCGGCCTTTGAGGATCTTGTTATCTGGAACCGCAAGGCACTTCCCATCGATGTTGCTTGGCTCTTGCGGACGGACGAACACACAATAGTGAATCTCAGTGAGTTTGGATAAATTGTCGATACCGCACAACTGAAGACAACTCCCCGAGTAGTCGGAGAACATCGGCAAGCTACTCTGACAGCCTCCGCTATAGTTTGCGTCATCTCTGCCCGTTATGCCGGATAAACGTCTGCTTCTTCCCGCTTTGCCAGATTGAAGTCGATCGGCATGACATATCTGATCCACCGCGCCATCGAATTGGCTCTCATGGTCCTCAGCTTGTCGGCGGGTCTCTTGTTCATCTTTGCGTGGAATTTGGAGGAGCTCCCAAAACCTTGGTATTGGAGGTGGCTACACTGATCCCCTCCGAATTCGAGACATGATATTTCTCTCACGCATTTATTGTTTCCACATGAAAGTTGAACGCCGCGGGATAGTGTGCTAAATGAGTTGAAAAGTACGGCAATCAAACCTGGACAGAACAACGGTTCGTTAGCCAGGGATTCTAATCTTCGGAGCGCAGCTCCTAAGCGCGTAAATGATGAAGGTTGAAACGAAAGAATACATAACTATTTTTCGGCAGGAGTTGAAGTCGTGTGTGGAAATCAAGCAAAATCACCAGAACATGCTCCATCCATATGTTCTTGACTTTCAAGGTATTCTCGGATTTGCCAGAGCACGAGTCGCTCTTACAATCCCTTCCTGCACTACGCCGCGGATTACTGTGGTCCCATGCACACGGGGACCCTGAACGGATATTCAAGATTCGATCCGATTGTTTCTTGCAAGTCGCTCTACAAGGTGACAAAGAGAACGTATGTACACGGCCTCGAAATAATGACATGCAAAGCGCAGGGAAAAGTACGGTGGGAAGGGAGAGAACGAGGATGATGTGGGGTTCGCGCTAGCCATCCACTCTCCTCCTCGCAGATCGTCAGCCCGCCGGGGTAACCTCAGTGTGCGACCGAAGTCGGCCCCAGAGCGCTGATTACCCGGGATGAGTTACCATCACAACGTCAGGAAGATCCATTTCATTCCCGACCGTGCGGTGCGAGGCGTTCCCCTGCAGAATCGACTCAGACTCCCGACGAGTCATGGCGAGAGAGTTATGGAGTGGGCCAAGAGACGGCCACGGGGATGATGGACGATGCAGGGCTGAAATCAGGGGCATCGCCGACACGGGAACCTTGCCAAGGCTCTAGGCTGCGAAATCGAGACGATCCAAGGGGAAAGTGCAAGTCAGGCATGTGTCAAATGCGAATGAACGGAGTTGTGGATCCGGCAGGGCGCTGTGGGATGGACCCTGAGAACGCCGGTGGACAACTAGGCGATGCCCCCGGTCCGCGATGTGATCTGCTAAAGCCGCACACCGACGTGCCGCAGTTCGACCACGATGGACACAATCTAGCTGTGAGACGCGTGTGAGCGACGGAAACGGGTGCCGTCGAGGCTAGGCTAACTCACGGATGGGTATTCCCGAATTGCTTCCTGCGCACTTTGTCCGTCGTGCACTCGCGCCGGCGAGCGCTCCACTGGGGAGGGGCCGCGAGCAAGGTGATACAGCGGTGATGCAGCAGACGCCTGAAGATCTGCCCAAGTAGGTGGAAGAGCGAGAGCCTAGCGTGACGGATCCATACGTCGACCGATACGCGTCATGCTGATGTGTGTAATAATACAGTGTCTGTGGATTGGAGCAGGAGGAAAGGAGGATGCCGCTGAAAGCGCCACGTGTGGTAAGTAGTGCCCTTCACCCTCCCTTGCTACGCCTATGGCCAGCCTCTTCCCCAGCGGGCAGCGCAGCGGATGCCCAGTGGGTGGTGGAGGCGACAGTCATGTTTACCCGCCAGTAGCCTGCGCGCTATGCGTCGTGGGGAGGTATTTCGGATGCCCTAACTTGAAGTACGCGAAGGCGCCATTGAAGGAGGGAGACTCGGAGGCATGCCCCGTCGAAAAGAACCATAGCTGCACGCGATGCGACCATGGGCGTGCAAACCGCTAGATGTGCGTGGCCACCCCGACGCGAGCGGATCGATGTCCACCCACTGAGGCGGCGGATCCTTGACGAAAAGGTAGCTGTCGAAGAGGAGGTGATGTGGCACTCCCTGGGCTACTTATGTACCTACAGTCCAATGTCGTCAAGATGAGGGTGACTATAATGATCTTCAGTTCCCGTTTCGTTCATGGTTCATCCTTCCCGATTCGTTGATGCGAGGGCGACGGTTTTGGAGTCGGAGTCGTGTGTGAAGCTTGTGAAGAGCGAGCAGTGAAGATAATGGAGAACGAAAGGAATGTGAATGACGTCAATAACGACATCGAGTCTGATCCTGTCTGATCGCCCGTTTCACTGTCACGATTGTAAGGTTACACCACAAGGGAGGCACCAGGTATCGCCTCTGTAGTCTAATGTTGAGACGTCTCTGCCACATATATGGTTAGTATTGCTCTTGACAGAGAAGTTGAGGGTTCGAGTCTCTCCAGAGGCGTTTCCTAAAGGACGGAATCCTTTTGCTAAATCCCTTTCGCATCTTCTGCCACTTTTTTCTTGCAGGTTCCTTGATTCCAATGTATTAGTGTTCCACAACTTTGTTTTCACCACCGTTGGTTTCACAACTTTTTGACCCTCGTCCCAAACAAATTCCGCGAAGTAACTCAGGTCCAGGGACCACACTCACACTCCAAAATTATGTTGTTGCATCGCACTGAATCTTTCTCAAGGAATACATGTTTTGTATCTTGTTTTCTGTCTTATATACATGGTGTACATCTGACTCCTGGAGCTGCTTTGTCAGTTGGAATTCAAGCCCGCCTCCGTGGTCCTGTTACAGTGGTAACTATGACATCTCTCCAATCTCAACATCAGGTTCATGACGACAAAGGTTCAAACAAAGATTCCAATCCCTCCAGAGACATGATATTGATGTGCGTCTTCTCATTTGGATTCTGTGCTAGAATATCGTGCTGCGGAGGCGTGAATTAATCTTCTTTCTGGTTCTCGTGATTCATTGATTGTACCAAGAGATTTACTGGTGTGATCAGTCCTCTGTGATCCAGTGCCAATCTCTAGCAAATGCGCATTTGGTTTAAGGAGAAGTCGAGGGTTCGAAGCCCTCTGTGGGTATTCCACTTGATGTATCAAATACTTTTTTCTGATGGTGTGAACCTAATTTTGCCTGTATTCTGACATACCAATTCCCCTGCGCCGATGGCAATCGAGCGGCCAGATTATACTCTTTTTTTGGCCTGCATTATGGACACTTAGACTCACCACTGACACACTCTGGCAGTGATGTTTGAGATGCCCGCGCTTCTCGTATAAATGAACATGCTCCGAAACTCGACCCGAATAGCATCATAAGCTATCTTAGAGAGAAAAGAGCCTCTGTGGAATACAAAGTCGCCCCAGATATCCAGATATGTAGGTTTAACTCCCTTTGGAGGCATCAGAAAAGAGGTTTGTCTTTTGTTTGCTTTTTCTGGACATTTTATTCTTTGAAGTCCATGCTATCGATAAATTCCTCCGCGGCTCCATGGGATCCGATCGCTGCAAATTAGAGGCCCCTGTCGGTAAATTGGAGGTCCAAGTCGCGTTGATGTTGACGAGATCATTCAGCTTCAGGGCTTGAATACCGGAGAATATTATTAACCAGTCGAACTGAACTCAATACTGAATTACTCTCAAACTGCCCCAAATAGCTAACAGATGCTAGGGGATAAGTAAGCCTCTTTTGATTCATACGCAAGCCGCCTGGTGTTCTGGGCAAGCACATTTCATACAATATTGAGGAGACGTGGGTTTGAGTCCCTCCTCAGGCATAGCCGACCCAAAGCTTTTCTTTTTCTTCTCATTTTCCCCGCCATTCTCTTTCGCATGCTACTTCCTAACGGCTGGGGTGATATGGAACTCATGTGGGTCAGATTGTTGTTCAGACCCAAGGGTGAGATGAATGATGCGCAAGAAGCTCAAAATAATCCCTGATTCAGAGGAGTCAAGACACGGTCTTACATTGAATTGTCTGGAATAGCATCGAGAGAAATCCAGTAATATAGCAATAACGGTCGAGCCTCTGTGGTCTTGGGAAGACAGCTCTGTCTGATTTTTCTGTTCTTGGTTTACAGAGAAGACGAGGGTTCGAATCCCTCCAGAGGCATGTGGCAGATGCTCAATTTCCTTTTTCCTTTACGCCCTACATGCTAATTAATCCACCCTAATTAGCTCACGATTCGGTAGACAGAAAGCAATCTTGTTTGAATTGACCGCTGGTGCCCAAGATACCCAGCATCAATGAAAGGCTTGGTTGGATGCATATGTAAATTTCGAAATGACGATCTGGAGGACACCATTTTCAGGCCCGACAGTGAGAGAAAAACTGCAATGTGGCAATGGAAATTCAGCTTCTGTGGTCAAGTTATACGATATGTTCGCGGCGTACCAGAGCACTGTGTCATTTCGACGTTGCGTTCAGCCCCTGTTACGCGTAACCTAAGGTGTTCACTCTCCTAAGTGTTCAGCTCGCGCTTTGGACTGTTACCTCCGGTAAAGTGTTCATTTTGGAGTGTGAGAACGGGATTGAGGTGACCGCAATTTGCTTCAGCGCTTATATAACATCCGAATACTTTGGCACCTGTGGATTCCAAATATAATTATCCAATAAAACATCGGCGCAGAGGACAAGTTTTTTTTTTTTTTGAAATACCTGTCTCATCGTACCAAACCCCACGACCGACTATGAGCCAAGAAGTAGCTTCAACATTTCTGACCGGACTGGGGAAGAAAAGTACATGTCCCCGCGCCGCCACGGGTCCACAAAATGGCGAAAGAAGAATGCACTGTCCCCCAGCAATAGAATAGCGGTTTGGTTCGTTCAGGTGATGCCGAGAAGTCTGGTGCTAAAGAGGAAGCCGTACCCTCATCTGCACCTCTTAGTGGTGGCTAGCGCAAGAAAAGCGGGACCTCGCGATATCAGGGACCCCTTCGGGAGGAGCACTAGTAGATATTTTTTGTGCGTTTTTTTTTTTTTCTTAACTTTTGCGTGTTTTAGAATCATTTTTTGCTCTTTTTAGGACTACAAGAAATTAAGTGTTCATTTACCCAGCGTTAACATTACGAGCGTCCCAAGTGTTCAGCTCAGAGGCCGGTGTTGCGCGTTACTTGAACAGTCGGTCGAAATGATACAGCAATGTTCATGGGGATTCCCGCCTGCTTCTTACCCGTTCGCCAGATTGGAGTCGATCGGCATGAGATATCTGATCCACTCAGCCATCGAATTGGCTCTCGTAGTAATCAGCGTGTCAACACTCTTGTTCATCTTTGCGTGGAATTTGGAAAAACGTCGTATTGCTACTCTGATCATCTCTGAATTCGAAACATGTCGCCGACCTTCTCTCAGTGCATATTTCTCTCACGCATTTGCTGTTTCCAACTTAAAGTTTGCGGCGTTACATTGTCGCAGTGCCAGAGCCCATCAATGGCTCAAAAGCAGTGGATTTGATGATCAAACTCGGACAGCTCAACGGGAGCCCAATGAATTTGGTTTGCTCGCCAGGAATTCTAAGACAGATTTTTGGAGCTCCGGTACTGAGCTCGTAGATTAATAAGGTTTAAACAAGAAAATACATAACTATTTAGTGGATTATATATCTAATTAAGGCTATCGAATTAAGGCTACAAGTGGAGCACATTATTTCGGACGCAAGTACAACAGCCTGAAAGGGACCAATAGCCCTGAAAGAAAGAAATAACACCAAACTGCCCAACTATCAACCAAACTAGACAACACTCTCAATATGGATCGGGAGCTGCCTCACGCCGTCCTCGGTCATCGCCTGCAATGTGACCGCGATCCGCGCACGCACGGAGTCGTCTTTGGGGAGGCTGAGAATGAATCTGCGCACGAGCTCTGTCACGATGACTTGCATCTCCAGGATCCTGGATGCGCACGGAAGATCAGATATCGAATCAAGGAACGATGTAGAGGACATACGCGAATCTCCACCTAGAGGATGAAGGAAAGAAGACAATGGGGGTCAGTATCCAGGAAATTAAAAGAACGGAAGGTACGCACCCCACGCAGACACCCGGCCCGGCAGAGAAGGACAACCTATCCGGTAAATGAACAATGACATGAGACAAGGTGCGAAGAAAACATACAGAGACGCATGAGGTCCAAGCGCCGAACCCTTACACGGCACCCCCTCGAGCCACCTTGACGGTTTGAACTCTCCGGCGTCGGCCCCCCAGATCGAGGGAAGCCTTCACAAAAGGTATTAGTATCAGACTGGGACTTTTGATGTTCAACTCACCGATGATATGCGCCCGTAGATACGAAAAGGACCTGCCCCTTCCTGACGGGTATCTCGGTGATTTGGACGCCTGTGGTGGTGGTGATGGGCTGGCTGAGAGGAAGCACGCAGTCCGTAGCAGCCATGCGTTCCGAGAGGGGAAGAGGAGGATAGAATCGGAACACCTCCTACACGAAGAGAGCTGATTAGTGGACAGCGACGGAGATAGGGAGAGACAAAGTCGCTCACGTTGATCATCGCATTCAAAAGCGACATTTTTTCGTAAGCAGGTCCGCAGTCGCCGCCCATGCTCGTGGCCAGCTGAATTTCCTCGCGCAATGCCTGCTGATAATCGGGCATCTGCGCGAGCTTGTAGAGGACAAAGCTCAACGCACATCCCTAACAAAGGTGACATCAATATTTATCCGTTGAGGATCGCGCGAGATCGTACCGCAGTGTCGACACCAGCAATTAGAATCGTACGAATATGAACGGGAATTTCCTCGTCGGGGACGCCCTTGTGAGCTGTCTGCCCTCTGACTAAAATGCGTCAAAGTCAACCATTGCGCGCCGAGTAAGAAATAAAGCAAACGACTTACGGAACGGATCAATAAAGCCACGCCCATGTTGGTCTTCTCCACTTCCATCTCGTCTCTCCTGAACGAGCTCATGACTCAACTCATCCGTAACTCTCGTAAATTCTCCAATCTGACGCATGGTCTGCAGCGGGAGGCGCATGGCGAGACGGAAAACGGTTTCCGGGACATATGGAAGGATCGCATCCCCCAGCTTTGTGGATTCTGTTACCTCGGAGAGGGTGTTCCTGGATGCGTGGGTGCAGTCCTCAGTGTGTAGTGTAGACAGCGGAACAAGGGACTACGCACATAAGAGTCCATTGGACCTCGGACAATTTGCTCTTCCCCTCTAGACCGTTGAATGGGTGTTCCAGGATCGCTATATTGTGCATCAGATAAAGAAAACGGGATGGTTCTCAAGTTTAATGAAGTACGCACCGTCCCCGATGGCGTCTATTATCGCGTCATGCAACGTGCGCGATATGTCGACGGTGGTTCCCGGGAAGCCGTGCGCATCCCACTGGTCCGCGAGCTTTAAATGGTAAACTGCATGAATATATCCACTCAAAGTTCGCATACCTTCCTGCCGACTTGCTGGAGTGCGGGAAGCATTGCGCGGACGCTCTTCG